ATAATAATCAAATTTTTTTTTATTTATATCCAATTCTTACTTTATATTCACACAACTAATTTGATTTTAAAAAATATATTCTTTTTTAGCCCAAACTCAAGACGAATATATATTTTCATATATTTTTCGATCCGATTTTTTTTATCCCTAAATCAAACATTTGAACTTTCGAAAATCCAAATACAATCTAATATGATCACTGAACTCATATATTAGTTATAGGTACAACGTACTAAAAAAGATATTTCATATGAACCAATATTGTATTTAAAGATTATTTTAACTATCTTCAAAAAGAAATACTATCATCTTCTCAAATTTATCACATGCAATTATTACAAATTTTTCATGGTCAAAATATATTATAAAACAACTTTGGATTTTAGAAAACGAACATATGAATTTATATGCAAAATATAATGATATTTTTATTTGTAAATGATATATCCAATATGATATAATGTGTTGTTGTCGAAATCAATATGATATGTTTATTATAGTTTTTTGAATTTTCTAACAAGTGTCATTTTAGGATCATTTTTCTGTAAAAAAAATGAACGTAGTATTCCAATTCCATAATGCATATTATATTATACTTTGGAAAATAAATACATAAGTATCATTCGTTAGAATATAATAAATATTTTTTTAATTAATATTTATGTTAATTTTTATAAATCTAAAATGAGTCCAACGAAAATTGTATAAATTATTAAGATTTTAAGGGGAGGTAATGTGAAATATGAGTTTGGTCGGATAAGAGTTCCATAGGATCATAGGTATCGCTATGTTTTTGTAGAGGTGTCATAATGGTCGGGTCAGACACAAACCCAAAGAATTGTGAATTGGATCGGTCTGACCCGAAACATGTGCGGGTTTATAACATTGGGCTGAAATCCGTTTCTATGGGTTCTTTTAAGAAAAACAAACAAAAAATAAACTATAAAAATAAAAGTAAAAAATCATCAAAATAAAAAAGTTTTTTATTTTTTTATAATTCTCTATTATATATATATATATGATTTTGAGAATGAATATGTTTATATATTTATGTATGTATATATATATATAATATAATTATAATTTTATCGGGTCGGTGGACCGAATCAACCCTATCTGAATCGCATTTTAGCTTGCATGGACGGTCAGATTTCAATTTTTGAGGTTTAGGCCCGTCAATTTTATGACCTAATTTGAGTCGGGTAACTGACTCGAGTTTTTTAACACTCCTAGATTTTTGTTTTAAATGTGTTTTTAGAAACTTATCGAAATTGTTCACATTCTCTCATAAAAAAAATATATCATCATCAAAAAAATATATCATCCGATAAACTCGATACTTTCGAAAAAAATTCTAATTTGGTTAATAATATAAAATATAAATTCAAAATATATATATTATCTTTAAATTCAAAACTAATAATAATATTATTTAAAATGTAGATATTTTTAATCTCGCATGCGAGTTATGTAAACGAAAAAACCCATTGATTTTATATTAAAATCATGAAAATATAAATATAAACTCAATATTTTTTAAAATTGCAATATTTTTTTATCCTAAAATTTTCAAAAAAAATCAGAATATAAATTATAAAACCAATAACAAAATATATTATTTTTAAAATTAATAATATTTTTAAAAAAAAATATGATCGTATTTTTAGTTCGCGCGATGCGCGCGGGTTATTACCTAGTAAGAAGAAATTGTTAAATTTTTTTTTCTTCTAAAAATAAAGATTTTCATCTTTATAGTATAAATTTGTAGATAAAAAAAACATTTTTTTACATATAAAAACTGAAAATGGTCTCCGTATATGAGATTGTCGGTATAGAACTTATATATTCCGATAATAGAATTTGGATAACCGTTGCTATTTATGTATCATTCTGTTATAATTTCAAATTTCCATGGTTATATTTGAAAATTCGAAAAAGTTAGTGTGTTACCGTGCTAAAGTTAAAAGTTTATTTACTGTACTATACTACTAATACATAGGGGTGTAAAATGGGCGGGTCGAGCCGGGTTTAATTCGGGTCTAGAATTTTTCGGATCGGACCGGTTCACCCATTTATTTTTCGGGTCTAGGATCGATGGCCCGGAGCCCGGTTCTACAGGGCTTCGGACGGGTTCGGGCCGGGCTTCGGGCTTTTTATTAAATAAAAATATTTTTTTTGCGATAATAATAATAATAATAATAATAATAATAATAATAATAATAATAATAATATGAAACATTCAACAAAAATATTTTTAAAACCGATAACAACAAAGTCATTTAGTTCACAAATAAAAATAAAATTGAAAAAATTATCCAATTATTCAATTCTCCAACACCACAACATGCGGTTAAAAACTTTTAAACGTGATAAAAAAAATAACAAACATAATATAAAAAGAAATTCTATGATGTAATTAATTTAAAACCTATAGAAAAAAATCAATATGTTTATATACAAACAAATGTTTAAAAATATATATATTTGAAAACTTCTATCAAGAAAAAACAAAAAAAAATTAACGGGCCTCAAGCCCGGCCCGAGACCCGACTGGCCCGGCCCGACCGGCCCGTATCCCATTTGACCCGAGGCCCGAAAGCCCGAAGTTTAATGAGCCTACATTTTTTAGGCCCATGTCCTTATAATTTTCGGGCAGGCTCCGGGCCGGGTTTCGGGCGGGCTCCGGGCCGGGTTTCGGGCTCCGGGCTTAATTGACATCCCTACTAATACATGGTCCCTAATGGGATTTTCCCTCCATTTAACTCTTTCTAAAAATCGAAACTCATAACCTTTCCTTTCCTTCTTGTCCTGAAATGATTAATTTTTAAAATTTCTACTATCCAATTAATTTCCATTTTTTAAACTGAATTTGCACAAGAAGAAAAGATCATCTACATATATAATTCTCCCCATATTTGTTAAGGCAGATGCTAACCATGCACTCACATGCATAGAAGCACTATCTAAAAGCCTTATAAATTGTAATCCATGAAAAAAAAACCTATTATTTAATTCAATCAATGAATACAGTTTTCTCGTTAACAAATCAAACTATATATAGTTTAGCCTAAAGTTTGGAGAAAGAGTCTATAATTCAAATTACCGATCCCAAAATTAGTGTAATTCTTGGTTTACGATACCCGATTATCCAAAAAACCATATATAGTTCACTCTCGATAATATATTTGACACCTCGTAAAAGGTAGGTATGATACCTTCCATCGCTTGTTATTAAGAGATATTGTATATTAGCGGAAATATATTATATTTTTTGTATATCTCCGGATAATATTAGAGATATGGTATATATCTGTAGCACTTGTTTGGATGATCATCAACACTATATATATGACTCGTTTAACGATGAGAGACACTTAAAAATAATAAATCTATATTTATGTATGTTTCTATTGAAACGGGCCATATGTCGCAAAAGAAAAAAAAAAGAATCTTATAACGAAATTGTAAGCATAATATACGTGCGTATGCCGACGGAAGAAGAAGCTTTATACCGTAGAATTTGTGGGAGAAGCCATTTGAGCACAAAGCATGCGTCGCACGTGTCAACGTCGAACCCAACACGCGGCTTCATTGCCATTTTGTCCTAATGCACAACCCCTTCACAGCCTACTCTTTTCGGGATATATGTTTGTTTGTCAACGCTATTCTCTTTTATTTTCATAAACAAAAAAAAATATGCTCACTTAAAATTGATAAGTTCTTTTAAAAAAAAAATTAAAAGAACACGTATAAGATGCTTTCACACGTATGTGAATGTATAATAAAATGTGCGGAGTTCTTTTATTTAAGAAAGTTAAAAACGTTATTCTGTTTTCATATTCACTCCACTCCTTCAAAAACAAAATTTCTACTTTTTTCAATCCATACTTTCACCATTTAAAGAAATGGTTTTTTTTTTTTTTGTTAAAGTATGTGTTTGGGAGGGGGAAACCCTAAGTGAGTTGGCAAGGAGTATAGTCAACATATCGAGAGGTTGGGGGTTCGACTCTTTACCCGCTCACCTATCGTCTGTCAGTTACGACTGATTTACCTTTCACGCGTGTGTTGCAGACTCGTGCGTGTGAGTTTGGGTTTACTCGATTAGCGTATCAAAAAAAAATGTGTATGTGTTTGGGAGATCCATATCTCTAATCTACCAACATGTTAGTTATTTTTATTGTAGTTGTGGTTATCTAGATCATATCTTTCTGTTTTCTGGATTTATATTATCATGCATGTATTCATCAGATTTCTTATAAATTTAAAACAAATTATTATAGGATTATTTTTGTCGGAAAATAACAGAGTTTATCGGAAAAAAAGGATGTGTCGCACGGTCGTACGGTGTAGAATTCATATAGGTAGCAGTAAATTCGATGCTTTATTTAATTAATTGTTTAAAGCAACTAAATGTGTTTTAAGTTCCTGCTCTATTTGATTTAGGAACATGGTTTTCATTAATTTTCCTCATATGCTGCAAATTTCACCACTACGCCTCCTTTTAGTGAATTATATTTTGTAGGCTTTGCATTTTTTTTAATTGTAAGTTATGGTTGATGTAAATTTTAATTTTGGAATAATTATAACATAAACAATTACTACATATACTATTTGAAGTTTTTTCTTTAATTACTTGCATCACACATATATTTACATATGTACAATATATTTTAAATAAATATAGTATTTGAAGTCCACTAATACACATAGATACATTAATGGACTTTTTGATTGGTGAATGTAGTCCACTCTTTTTTACTTTTATATACATTTTCCTATAACATGCACTTGAACTTGACATCGAAAATATCCCACAATATATTCACCGAGCTAAAATAGTTATGCTTTTTTAACAAGCATAATTATCTTTTTTTAGTGGACCGCACAACGAAAAAAAGATCGGAAAAAACATTAAAAAAAAAAGAAGTGAAGCTAAATTATTCCCACTCATAAATAAACCTTGAGGGGACTTTGTTAACCCTCAAACACTCCGTCCCCCCCCCCCCCACACACACAAAATTATTGTTTGGGGGTGAAAATAGAAGAAATTGAAAATGGTGGGGCGAATTTGGGAAATGGGGAAAGAAGCGAGGACTGTGATAGCAATGGTGATGGTTCAGGTCGCGTACGCCGGGATGAACATATTGTTCAGGTTGGCGACAGATGATGGGATGGACCAAAGGATTCTCGTCACTTACCGTCTCTTGTTCGCCACTTTTTTTACCCTTCCCATTGCTCTCATCTTCGAGAGGTCTCCACTCCGTCTGTATATATATGTATATACGTTTATACATATGTATCTATGTTTGTGTGTGTGTATATATAATTTATGAACATGGACATGTATTGATCATGATTTTATTTTCATGGTTAATAAGTAAAAGCTGATTTGTGTATTTTTTTTTCTCTTCACCATATTGCTGTCGTCTTCGAGAGGTCCGTCCACATCTTCTACACGTATGCTTATTTTATACATACATATATATATATATGTGTGTGTGTCAGTGTATGTATATATTGATCACGATTCTTTTATCATGGTTATAAGTAAAATCTTGTGTATTTTTTTTTTGTCGACGTTATTAGGAAGAAGAGGCCAAAGTTTACGTGGAGGTTGCTCCTACTAGCGTTTGTCTCCGGGTTAATTGGGTACTTATTTCTCTTCAAATTTTATAGACTATAGTTTCAATACAAATATTTATCATTGTTTGTACGTATACGCGACTACGTGTTTGTTTATATTGCATTTGCGTGTGGGAACGTGTAATTCTAGTGTTACTGTATGATGAGCTATGAGGTTTATGTATATATATACACACCCGGTTTAAGGTTTAGTTGGATTCCTTTTTAATATATATATATATATATATATATATATATATAATTCTTATATCTAATTTTATTTTGGTCTGAGTTTTTATTCGGCGGATTTAGTTTTCATTCAAAAAAAAATTATTTTTTTAAAATGAAATTTTGGTTTCTTTTAATTTTTCAAGATATTTTTTTTTATTTGGTTTGCACTCATTAATTCATTTAAATAAAATCATATTATATGGAATACAGTTAGATATTATTAAACTCGATCGGTTGATTTTAGTTCATCATATTCAAAACCTAATAGAAATATCTATACCTACTAATTATCTTCAAGTAATTAATAAGAAAAATAACAGATTCATCACTGTAGATTTCTTGGTAACATTTACTTAAGTGTAATTAATTAATACTTGAGTGATTAATGGAAGCTTTGATTATATGACTGGGGCATTAAATTGTATATTCTTAACCGTTGGGGTCTATATGTAAATGTGGAAAAGCAGAGGGGCGTTACCAAACACGCTATACGTGGCGAGTCTGGCCCTGACGTCAGCAACGTTCTCCTCAGCCGCCGGCATCCTCATGCCTCTCTTCACGTTCGTCCTCGCCGCCGCTTTCCGGTAACTCCAAAAAAAAAGTCGGTAATGACAAAATATATATGATGAAATTCAAATCTAAATTTTAGGAATTTTATATTCCATAGCATACACAGTCATGTGAACCAAAAAATCAATTATATATAATATTACAAATCAAATCATAGAAAATTTATTGTTTTTTATCATTAATGAATAATTTAAATGGACAATGTAATTCGTTTTAATTATCGCTCCTAATTCAATAGAAATATAATAAAAGACCAAAACAGATAGTATATACATATATAATAACGGAAATTTTTCATACTTTCCAAATTGGCTTATGATATGCCCTCGTCCGTTGATTATTACATGGGTCCCACAACAGGATGGAGAGCGTGCGGCTGAGATCAAACGCGGGGAGGGCGAAAGTGGTGGGGACATTGCTCGGTGTGAGTGGAACACTTGTGTTCATCCTATACAAAGGCTTCGAGATTCACATATGGTCAACACACGTTGACCTCTTGCACGGAAGTTCTCCTCCTCGCCCTTCTTCTCATCATGGACCCCATTCCCATCTCTCCGTCTTGGGAGCACTTCTCGGCCTCGGCAGTAACCTCTCTTACTCGCTTTGGCTTTTATTTCAGGCGAGATTGCAATGATATTTGAATATACATATGTATACGAGTATATATACATATATACGCGTATACCCCCTATATGTATTACGTGTGTGTTTTGTGTGTATCTTGGCTTTGTATAGGCAAAAGTGAGCAAGCAGTTCGGAGGGCATTATTGGAACACATCTCTTATGTGTGTAATGGCAACCTTGGTGTCCGTACTTTTCGCTGCGTGTACGGACAGGCATTGGAACGAATGGAGATTAGGATGGAACATCAGGCTCCTAAGCGCCGCTTACTCCGTAAATTAATATTATATATATATATA